TTCAGTTTTTAATTTTGAAGACTTTAATTCTTATTTTTTGGTTATTAATTCGATTTTAATTTTCATTTATCCGTACGAACCAAAAAATCAAACCTTAATTAAAATTTCTTATTATACTTTAGAGACATTTACATAGATACCACCAAATTCCAATCTATTTATATATCTAACACCTAAACTCTAATTTTTACATTTATACCACCAAGATCTTTCATATCACATAAAAGATACCGTAATTTTAACTATTAAAAAGTGAAATGCATGTGTTGGTAAGGTACATTAATGTAAAAATTGAAGTTTTAGTGTTAGATATGTATATAACTAGAAATTAGATGGTATGAATGTAAATTTTCCTATATTTTATTTGAAGTGGAACAAACCTAAAAATCCTAAGGTTACCATATATACAATAATTGAGTAAAATAATTAGAAAGATTCATGAAAGCAAAATTGATATTATACATGTAAGAGCAATATTATTGTATATGTATACAATAATGTAGAATTCTCTACATAATTATACATGGAGTCTGGATGCACATGTACTTCACATATAGTAAGTTTTTCTAAAAAGCAAGACACGAGTGGCCGAATATGTAAAATTCCTTCTTATTTATTAAAATTAAAGGGCATTTATTTATATATAACTAAATCATTATGTATTCGCATTATAATATCAAATCATTGCATTTCTACATTTATACCACCGAAATCTTTCATATCACATAAAAAATGAATAAAATACCATAGTAGTTCCCAACTATTTACATGACGTCATTTTAGTCTCGGAGTTTATAAATTGGGGTTAAAATAGTCTCATTGGAGTATTATTAGAACTCCAATTTAAAGAGTTTGGGTTTCAATTTGACATTTTTATAAATTTTGAGATTAAAAGGACCCTACGTAAAAAGTCAAGAGATTATTTTAGCACTTATTGTGAGGTGAAGGTTTCAAATGCAATTTCTGATATAAAATAATTCCCAAGTGTCCAAATTAAGCCTAATATACTCTAACTCTAAAAATTAAACATACCAATAAATCACATTTATATTTTAAAACTCAATTATTATTTCATTTTCGATTTAAGAATGAAAGTTGATACGTCACCAACAAATTTTCATCATCCGGCACGAATCTCGAGATGATATTTTAAGCAAGCTACATTCAAATCTTGATAAAAAGTCATCCAGAGCTCTGATTTCAACAAACTTATAGTCAAACTGACTGACTTGATGAGATGAACCTAATGATATAAAAATTAGCCCAATCCGAGTCAAATCAAACCCAAATCAACTCATTGAACCACACTAGAATATGACAAGTTTACACTCGAATTGAGCGTCTCGACAAGACAAATTTAACGAGCCCAAAATCACTTAATTTAGACATCATTAAGGCACTTAAATGTCAATTAAATGTTATATGATTGGGGAAGCTCTCCGGTCTGTCTGATCAAAATGTTTCATATTCATGCATTAATGAAATTCAGAAACATGAGGGAGGAGACTTGAGGCTTCAGAGAGAACTAAAAGCTCTAAGAAGGAGCTGAAGTCCAGCACCATCCCGACCGCCGTCGACTACCGTTGATTGTCATCAACCACCGTCGGGCCGTCGTTGACACTCGTTGATCGCCATCATCCACTTTCGATCGTCATTGTCGATCATCATCACCACTAATCCTCGTCGATCACCACCAATCAGACACCGTCAGTCATCATCGTGGGACATGAGCTCATCACTACGGTCCATGTGTCAACAACAATCTACGTGGTTCACAGCTCGAGCAGCTCTCAAGTCTAGCCTTGGGGGCCTATGGACGTCATTCATACTCGCCACTATGGCATATGTGGTCCACAGCTTTTGTAACTGCTTACTACGATTTCTTTGGCCAATGAACACTTCTGGAGCAGTCATCTACAACACTCACGATGGACTATTACCTCCATAACATTCAACAATGACCATTTCAACCTGTTGTCACCAAGAATTATAGTCAGATTATAGTTTATACAACTTTGTAATTCTATCTTCCCTAATTTAGGGGAAGAATGAACATGTGTACTCATCATTTATAGTGGATTATTTCAACTGGGCTAGGCTTCGTGATTTTTCTCTCTTTCAAGGGTTTTCCACGTAAAAAGTTGAGATGCCTCCTCCTGCTTACTTCTCTCTGTTATCTGTGTGTGTTGAATTCTCGTACAACGCTAAGAAGATAAACCATTGCTCTACCACCGTAAATTTTCTGGCACGCATCAAAAGTTAATTATTAAAAATTTTTATTTTATTTTTTGATTTAGGGCTCAACTCAATTAATAGTAGATTGAAAGCCCAAATTAAACCAAAAATATTAATCCATGATGGAATATATCAATGATAAAAGCCACAAGAGTGTAGTCAGATCATTTTTATTTTTTATTTTAAATTAAAATTTTAATTTTAAAAAGTTTTAGTTACAGCTTTTTCATCTTTTTAATTTAACAATAAAAAAAATGCTGGAAGCTTCAAAGAGAACTAAAAGCTCTAAGAAGGAGTTGAAGTCCAACACCATTCCTACCGCCGTCGACTACCGTTGATCGCCATCAGCCACAGCCGGGCCGTCGTTGACACTCGTTGATCGACGTCATCCACTGTCGATCGTCATTGTCAATCATCATCAATCATTGTCGATCACCACCAATCAGACACCGTCAGTCATCGTCGTGGGACATGAGCTCATCACTACGGTCTATGTGTCAACAACGACCTACGTGGTTCACAACTCGAGCAGCTCTCAAGTCTGGCGTCAGCGGCCTACGGACGTCATTCATACTCGCCACTATGGCCTATGTGGTCCACAACTTTTGTAACTGCTTACTACGGTTTCTTTGGCCAATGAACACTTCTGGAGCAGCCATCTACAACACTCACGATGGACTACTACCTTCGTAACATTCAACAATGACCCTTGCAACCTGCTGTTACCAAGAATTATAGCCAGATTATAGTTATACAACTTTGTAATTCTATATTCCCTAATTTAGGGGAAGAATGAACATGTGTACTCATCATTTATAGTGGATTATTTCAACTGGGCTAGGCTTCGTGATTTTTCTCTCTTTCAAGGGTTTTCCACGTAAAAAGTTGAGATGCCTCCTCCTGCTTACTTCTCTCTGTTATCTGTGTGTGTTGAATTCTCGTACAACGCTAAGAAGATAAACCATTGCTCTACCACCGTAAATTTTCTGGCACGCATCAAAAGTTAATTATTAAAAATTTTTATTTTATTTTTTGATTTAGGGCTCAACTCAATTAATAGTAGATTGAAAGCCCAAATTAAACCAAAAATATTAATCCATGATGGAATATATCAATGATAAAAGCCACAAGAGTGTAGTCAGATCATTTTTATTTTTTATTTTAAATTAAAATTTTAATTGTAAAAAGTTTTAGTTACAGCTTTTTCATCTATTTTCATCTTTTTAATTTAACAATAAAAAATTTATTTTAAAAAATACTCAAAATAATTTTTGAATATTTTGAGTATCTTTCAAAATAAATATTATAGCACTAGCCATGGCCGCATTTCATTGGCTAGGGCTGTAAACGAGTCGAGCCTTGCTTCTAAACGAGCTGAGGTTGAGCGAGCTCAGGCTTGGCTCGTGTTGGCTCGTGTTTGAAATGACTCGTGAACAGTGTGTTCGTGTTCGACTAGATAACATTTTCATGTTCGTGTTCGGCTCGATTATTTAAAAAAAAAAATAATTTTGTCTAAAAATTTTTCAAGAACAAAATTCATACACAAATTTAGAGATTTATTAACTTTCAAAAATGATGAACTCAAAAAACTTTACAAAATTGATTACAAAATTTTATACAAAAATATTAATATTATTTGACAAAAACTCACAAAATAAAAATCAATTTATTACAAATTTTAAAATGTACAAACAAATAAGAGTACAAAAAATATAAATAAAATCTCAAAATAAAAATCAAAATCTAAAAATTATTGTATTGAACATTTAATTCTTCTTACACTTTACATGCAACTCAAACTACAAAAACTAATTTCTGTAAACCACGAGCTCACACCATTGGAGCAAGAATTGCAGTAGTTCTTTATATCGTTGTCTGTTCTTCCCGGCAACTCGGCGGCAATCAAAGACCACCCGTTTCAATAAAAGCCAGATTTTTTAACTGAAATACTATATATTTTCGTTATGGGATTAAAAAAAAAAACAGATTTTTCAGTGAATTCTGCTGTCGAAACTTAATTTTGAGGCTGGCTTTCAACCATGCATATACATGCATAAGCAGACCTGCTTCCAATTCTGACGAAGAGGCTGCAAATTATGTTCTCCTCCTCTGAGGAGGAGCCCAGCTAAGGTCAAGAAACCTGGGCATGTTAATTGCATTATTTATAAAGACATAAGGACAGGAAAGGAACAAAAAACATATAATACAAATATAAGGAAATAAAATATATAATCTTATTCTTCTTCGGAACTTAGTAACAAGCAAGCCATTGGTCCAACCAAGCAGCTAGCTCAGCTTTCCTGTATGGACTAGCAGTTATGGCAGTGGATTACTATATGATAAGATCATATGCGATGAAATTGATGAATTCCATAATTTAATAGGTTTACTTGCTGCCTCCTTCATCTAAAGTAAAATTCATAAAATCAATTCATGGATTCCTCTCTCCCTCCTAATTGGTTTTCAAATTTGATTTCAGAGAACTAGCAACCATAATACCTCCCATATTTGTGCTTGACCAACAATGAATCTAGAATTTCCAAATCATGCCTTCCAAAATAATTGCTTAATTGATGACTCAAGGCTTGTATGAAAAAATGAAGAACACTTTCAAATATAACTGTTTCAATCACATTTTCTCCAACAAATTTGCAAGCTTGTGCCAACAAGTTGCAATTTGGGTGCTACACTCTTGGCCAATGAATCTATTTAATTAGTCTAGTCCTTTAAGGGTGACAATATTGAATTGTGAACATGCAATAAATTATTATATATGCATTTATAAAACAGTCAAATAAAAAAAAAAGAAAATTTAAATACATGGAATTAAACGGTAAACAAATATATAAGAGAAAATTTAAAATTACCAGCATGTTCTTCTCAATCTAAATAATTGGATGCACTCAATGCTTCACTAAAAAGTGTAGCTTTTTCAGTTAATGAAAGCATCTTAACAAGAACAGGGCAGAGATACAAAAAACATGCTAATTTCCCCCATTCTCATAACTATGATATATTAGGGGCATTTACATACATATCACAAAATTCTTATGTATTTACATATCTAACACCTAAACATTCACATACACATGCATACCACTCAAATCTTTAACATCATATCAAAAATACCAACATCACTATCTTTTTAAACATAAAATACATCTTTCATATATAAGTTTACAACACCAAGGTGACACCAAAAGGGTAAATATCAAATTTTTATGTCAGTTGCAATAAGACAAAACCAGATGAATCCAAAACATTCAACATACCTGTATACATATGGAGAAGTGATGGCATGAGCAACATCTATTGCAATATCCAGGCGTTCCGCAAGATTAAGGCAACTTCCATGCAAGCCTGCATGCTGCATATCATAAGTATCTCCTCCGCAGGAATATGAGTTAGTGGCAAATAAGCCAAATAAACATCTTTACTACCAAGCCCAGGCACAATAGTCATAACTGCGGCAACGGTAGCTAGAACATTCCCATGTGACATCATACCCCCTATATTCAAGCTTAAAGAATAGAGGGCTTACAATTAATAAAATAAAGAAAATTATGTGAGACCTGAAATTAAGGCAACATTGAGGTAAGGTTGATTAAGATGCATAGCATCCAAATCTGTATAAGAAAAAGATGCTGAACAAGGGCTTGGAAGTACAGCAACAAAGTTCAGAAGTTGAACTATGTTTATTGTGATGGCCAAAGTGTTTCATAAGCATAAGAAAGGGTCAGCTACATTGAGCAGGAATAATTTGTTCTTCTAATTGATGCAATCAAAATCATGAAATTGCTGCAAAATCTTGTATGCAAAGGGGATAAAAAAGGTCTGTAGAACCATTAAATAAAAAAATAGCAGTACAACAACAAATGACTATAACAACTCATAACATGAGATGACAACAGTTCTAAATTCAAAAGACTAATAATGATGGGAATAAAGGACCATCATGACTCGGCACTAAGAATTTCCCCAGAAATCACACATATGAGCACACAAAACTGACTTTGCCATCAACAATTTAAAGTTTTAAATTCAACTCAAAAAGTTTTAACAGTGCTCATCTATTCCCACATGCATTTAACGAAACAATGCAGCTAACCAACTTCAACAGGATTATTTCTTTACCAAATTAAGCAAGTTATGAAGCCGTTTATAAATGTCTTTATAAGCAAGGCCTAAAGCTGTAATCAAATACACATTCTATGACTTATAACTATAACATCGACTTTTACAAATAAAACATGGAAAAAGAACACTTGCCGACACTATCTGAAAGAATTGCGAGATAAGTTTGGCTCTGAGCATTCACACAAATATGATTCTTTCAAATCTGAAATACAACTTTTCTGTGCTATATATATATATATATAAGTAGGCCTCTGGAGATAAGAAAGAATTGCAGGAACCATCATAAATTGGAGATCAATAACAAGAGTCATATCATCATATGTAACGAAAGACCTGCATGCTCATCAAACAATTATCAATGTATATACGAAGAGTATGACCTAAATGCATATCCCAATCTTAGCTAGAACCAATAATTCTAAAAAAATATTATTTTCAAAATTACCATCTCCAATAGCAAGAGTCATATCATCTATTCTGCTCTTGATTAGCATAACTATCCCAACCTTCTGCAACTTTTTATATTCTTAGCTTAAAATGGTTGCAAACTTGTGTTGCTTTCCAAAATTAAGAGTAAGAATAATCATCTAAGACATCATTTCATATTCTTATCTTAAAATGATTGCAAATTTGTGTTTCCCTCCAAAATTAAGAATAAGAATAATCATCTAAGACACAATTTCATATTCTTATCTTAAAATGGTTGCAAACTTGTGTTGCCTTCCAAAATTAAGAGTAAGAATAATCATCGAAGGCTTTATTTCATATTCTTATCCTAAAATGATTGCAAACTTGTGTTGCATTCCAAAATTATGAGTAAAAATAATCATCTAAAGTAACATTTTATATTCTTATCTTAAAATGATTGCAAACTTGTGTTGCATTCTAAAATTAAGAGTAAGAATAATCATCTTAGGCAATTTTGAAATGAAAAAAAACATCTACATGAATAAACATCTTCCATTGTATCTTCTCCATGCCATACAAAATTTGGTATGATGAATAAAATATACTTCTTAATTAAAAAAACATTGCCACTTGTAGAAATTGTTGTCTCATCACAAAACACAGACATAATATGGAGCATAAAATGTAACAATTGGATAGTTTCAGACCACATCAAAACCCTCTCAAAGCACATGCATAATATGGGGCAAGTGACATAAAATATAATAATATGGCGCAGAAGACAGATGATTCCAGACCATATCATTTCCACCCTTCCCTTAATTTACTCGAGTCAAGCCACTTCAAGCTGTTTCTCTTCCATTAATTCTTGCTGGTAGGAAAAATATATAAATATCAGTTTTAAGATGAAAAAGTACATAAACTATAGAAGCTAATTCTTGAGAGAAATTATCATAGGTGTTTTCAAACGACTCGTGAAAGATCTAATCTAACTAGACGAGCATATTAATGCATTCATTGTCTTTATCGAGAGTGAAATTCTGTAATCATTTAGAACTCTACCACCAGTACTAAACGCAGATTCTGAAGCAACTGTTGTTATTAGAATCGATAATGTATCTCTAGTCATTTTCGATAAACAAGAATACTTGGGAGTGTTCAACTTCTACCGCTCAAGAATATCAAAATATTCATTATTGGTCAAAAAAATACCCTCCTCGAGATAGACTTGTAAATCTGATTTTGATGGTTAAATAGACACAGATGAAACTACAAAATCAGTAAATACAATCATGCAATCAAAATTTTGTGAATTAACTAAATCACTTGACAACTCCAAAGAAATATTGCCACTTGTAGAACTGCAACTAGCAATATCGTTTGCATACGTTTTATAAATTTCCAACATAACATCTTCAACTTGTTTAATTTTGGAGTCTAATTCAATAGATGTATACATCTTGGCAAAACTAAAATGTATGAACTTCATTTTCAAACGAGGATCCAAAACATCTGCAACATACATTAGGAGATTGCACTCACCCCAATATTTATCAAATTTACCTTTCATAGCAAAAATCATGTTCCTAATATAGTCATCGGATGAAGTCGACTCATCCAACAACAAAATATTTGTATGGAAAACATTAGGTAAAAAAATATTTTAGGCCGGGTAGGAAGAACTTGAAATCATTTTTTGTCACGTTAATAAAAACAATAAAATTCATTCTATGCATAAAATCGCAGAAAAAATATAATTGAGGTTAGGTAGAAAGAATCTGAAATCATTTTCGTCACATTATTAAAAACAACAAGAAAATTTCTGATTATATTTCTCTCAATCTAAATCTGAAGGCAACCAACTGAAATTGTTATCTCGATTTGCATAGTAAGCGAACACCTTCTGAAAAATAAAAGCAGATTCGAGCATTAAGAATGTTGAGTTCCATCTTGTTGGAACATTGATGCACAAACCCTTTGATGTTTATATCCCTAATTTTCTGGATATCTCAACAAACCTATGCAACCTTGTCAGTGACTTCTTCAGATATTTAATATAATCTCTAATGTTATAAATGATGTCATTAATCTCTCTCAAATCAACTTGCACCATAATATTTAATATATGAGCACAACAACGAACATGAAAGAAATGTCCCTTAAAATGTAATTTCCCTATTGTCATGAAATTTGATTGGAACAAGCTAATAACAATATCATTATTACTAGCGTTATCTAAAGTGATAGTGGAAACTTTGTCTTGTATCTTCAAATCTAACAAACAATCACAAATGAATCACAAATGAATGTGTCGGTATGAGGTGAATCCAATTCAATGAAATTAATAATTCGTTTTTGCATCTTCTAAGACTGATCAATGTAATGAATAGTTAAACACATATATTCAATTGTTTGATTGGAAATCCAACAATCAGAAGTTAGTGAAAACCTGTGAATATCCCTAAATTGTTTTCTGAGCTTCTCTTTTTCAAACTCATAAATCTTTATGCAATCAGTTTTTATTATGTTCATTGAAACTTTCTCATAATTTAGGTTCGAGGACTTCAATAAAATGTTAAACCATGTATGTTCAATAATATTAAAATGATACTCATGCACTATAATCATTTTGAAGATTATCTCTCTAACCTTATGTTGATCATAGCTTTTTAGATTGTGAAAAAATGGAATCTCAACATCTGTATCAAAATCAGTTGACATAAAATTCAACATTTTTTGACTTTTCTCAGAAAGACCAACAGCTTCTTTATTTTTAGTTTTGATTTATCTACATTCCCTCACATGACGTAGAAGTTGAGAAATAGTTCTTGTTTTAGATTTTTAAAATTTTGTTCGATAACAAATGCACTGCCAAAAAGTAGTTTGGACCCCTTTAATCGAAAATATTGCCTCCACAAAATACTCCCACACTGCTGACTTCCTCTTCCTACCCTTCTTATTAAAGACTTTTTCACTGCTATTATTAGTGACAACTTGAGGTACTACTTCTGGCTCTACTTTTTGTAAATTAAGATAGACAATTTCGTCGCTATTCTAAGCTTCTGGTAGCAACTGATTATTGGATGATTTCGATTGTGAAAGATTTAGTTCAGACATATTTGTACTTGCACACTAACTGAAATCAAAACTACGGAATTAGTATTAATTCATACATGCATACATACATGCAAACATTACTGATTTATAATGAATATGTGCAAATATAGAAAACTAAGAGCAGATTCATTCTTTAGCTAGTAAACAACATATAGTAGCTTTGAAAACTCTCCCTCCATCTAGAAAACAAGTGAAATATAACATGTATAATACATAAAAATTGTCATAACAATTTATGATATAACTACAAATTGATCATCAACATTTTCTTCAATTGGCCTAGCTAGAAAATATATACAAATACAAACTTAGCCAATTCATCAGATCACTAGGCTAATTTTTCAAAAGTGCAAAAAGGAAAGGGGCAATTATTGGTTTATCACCTAAGTCTTTATTATTTATAAAACCAACCCCTAAGCATTTCTATTTACAATAACACAATTTCGTTCTGAGAAAGCGTGGGTTTACACATTTAGATATAAAGACCAAACTTCACAAAGATGCATGCCCTAAACACTCTTATATGATATGCAAATTTTCCCCAAACAACCCCCAAGCATTTACCTGAGTCTTTATTATTTAGGGCAAACTGCATTGGTATATATATATAGGCTCCATGGAGATGCTAACAGATACAACTATTTTGAGATTGACTATTTGGCTATTAGCCTTTGCAACATATTATTATACTACAATAAAAAAACTATTCAATACTTCTTATATAACATTTTAGATAAGAAAAAGAGGAGAGGGAGGGCGAGAGAGAGAGAAATAGTTGAAACAATCTTATAAAGTATTTTAGACAAGAAAAAACTTCTTCTCCACATGATTTATACTACATAGCATTTGATGATCCACATCAGTCATGTACATGTCATTTTAATATAGAATTTTAATATAGATATGAATCTTTTAATATAGATATGAATCATATCTAGCATGCAAATAGAGAGATGTCCAAGGTAACCATCCTTTAAGAACAACATCTGAGTAGGAGAAAATAGAGAAGAGATGAGTTGATGACTAGTTCTCAGACACAGCTTGATGTTCTTGCACTCTTTTTTGTTCATAAACACGTTAAGCCTAGTTCTCAGACACAACTTAAAACTTTAAGTGGAGCCCGATGAGCAGTATGTTACTCTTTTAGCATGCATAAACCCAAGCATTACGATTTGGGAAAATGAGAGTAATACATCCATTTACATGCACTTCACAAAGATGCATCCCTAAACCACCAAAGTGAAACTGAAGTTCAAAATTAGTTGAGAAAAAGAAATATTATTGTTTTGAAAAACTAAATGAAAGAAGCATTGTGTTCTTCAGTCTTCACAAAGTCATCCATAAGAAAAGAAAAATTATCATTTAAAGGCAATAGTTAAATCACAACACATACGCCTAAATCTGTACGAATCGATGCACAAATGCACAATAGCCAAACTAAATTTCATAACAAAACTCTTTTATCAGATCTAATCCATAGAAAATACAGATATAAATGCAACATGCTACAAAGCTAGTTTTCACTCAAGAAATCTAGATAAATCTAAAAGAAATTTAAGAAAATTTAAGATAAGAGGAGAACTCGAAGATAAATATGAAATAGTAGAGAAAAGATACTCAGAGATAACACCTAGGTAGCTAAACAAGTAACCAATGAACCAAGCAAGACTATCGAGCAAGCAAGAATACCGAGCAATCGAGCCAACACCAACTATCCAAGGAGAATAGAAGTAGATATTAGCAGAAGTACACATACAACAAACCCTAAGCCGTCGCGACCGAAAGGGTTTTGTGAGGCACCCGAACAGAAGCCGAACCGTGAGAAGTTTCGAAGTTGGTTGGTTAGGGTTTTTTCGAGAGGTGAATGGGGCATTTTATATTATATTATTATATAAATATATAATATTTATATATGTAATATTAGTATATTATTATAAATAATTTGTTAGATATGTTAATAGGTTTTAATTTTATAAAATATGCAAATTTTTTTTAAAAAATTTTAATCAATTATAATTTATAATATTTAATTTTATGAAAATTTATTATATATTTATTTATTTATTTATTTTCGAGCCAATTCAAGGCGAACACGAGCGAAAAAATTATTGTTCGTGTTTGGTTCGTTTACATTTCGAGCTTAAAAATTTGTTCGTGTTCGACTCATTAGTCTTAACGAACGAGCCGAACACGAGCTGTTCGCGAACAGCTAGCCAAATTGACAGCCCTATCACTGGCAATTGCCAACGACAATCATTATTATTAAGAAAATTAATATATTCAATATTCAATAAAATTACAATTTTTTTAATATATCAAATTTATTTTATTTCAATTTGAAATATAAATAATATCAGATAAAAATAAGAAAAATAAGAAAAATCCAATATTATCTCTTTATAACACAGTTTCTCTTATATGATTGTTCTCCTCTTTTATGTTATCTCAATTAATTAAGCTTTAAATTGAGCATCTCAAATTTCATAATAAATTTATTTTGTTAGCAAATTTACATAAATACCACATTTTAATGATTTTTATGTCTAGCACCTAAAATTTAATATTTAAATATATAGCATGGTTAATGACTCTATGGTCGTGGAAACACTTCTTGATTGATATTGTCTGCATAAAGCATTTTACTTACCAAAGAAGAACTAAAATATTACAACATAACATTCTGCGACTGTTCAGGCATTTCATCAAGCATGTCGCGGTCACTCTGCAAAAGGACCTCAAAACCAATCCTTTATCCGTAGCTTCTTCTCCTACGCCCCATTCCGCTCCCCCTCCCGTCCATTCTCCTTCTCTTTCTCTTTATCTCCTCCACGAGATCCCCAGATTTGATCACTTAACTCGAAAATTGTATCGTCGCCGGTACCGGCGCCAACATTTGCGTTGCGGCGGCTGAGCCGCTCTGGTCCCCTGTCGGGGGCTCCTTCGTCTTTCGGAGGATCTGACCCGCCGTGAAGTCTCTCCCGATGGCTCGCCTGACGCGCTCAATGGGGGAGATTGATGGGTCGAACGACTCCACCGGCTCTCGAGCGATCTCCAAGGTGGCACGAAGAAGCCGCTCCTCGTCCTCCTTGCTCCACGGCGCTGTCTCCGGTTTCTCATTGCCGCCGCTGGTGGGGGCGGCGGCGGAGGAGGAGCCGGAGCCGGAGCCGCGATGGTTCTGGTGCATTTGGAAAGAAGTAGGCAGGGAAGCGGCTTGAGATCTTATTGTGGTGGGTTAGTTGTTAATTGTTATATATATATACAAATTCGTGTAATATAAATTTAATTATTTAGCATATTTTTTTTATGGATCTATATATCTAATGGGTAAGTGTTTATCATTAATGTATTGTCAATATTTTGAACAATTTAGTTGAATCCTAAACAGGCTCAATGCTTGCTTTTTACATTTGCTTCCATTCCATTAAATAACAATCTTATAATTTCTTCTAGGTACAAAATAAAGTGCATAATATATTTTAGGTAACTTAATAATACATATTCCTAATCTAAATATTCAGCTAAAAGGGAAACAAATCAGAATAAAAATATTAAAAATAAAAAAAGCTTCTAATTATAGAAAACTCTTAATTATAATTTACTTTGAATGTTATAGAAAACTCTTAATTATAAAAATAAAAAACTCTTAATTATAACTTACTCGCCATTCAAAGTAAATTATAAAAATAAAAAAACTTCTAATAAGAGAAAGTTGCATTTATCGGACGTAGTGGATCCACAACACAAAATGTCATGGCAGTTTGCGACTTTAATGTGTTTCACATTTATCATGCCTGGTTGGGAGGGTAGTGCCCATGATAGTAGGATTTTCAAGAGTGCAACACGGAATCCTCATTATAGCTTTCCCCATCCTCCTCAAGGTATGTTGTGCCGCGAAATATTTTTTGTATTTTTTTAAAATGTGGAACTCAAGATTCAACATCTTACAGGAAAGTATTATTTGGTGGATGCCGGTTATCCGTTGCAGCGAGGGTATCTCAAACCATATCCTGATACGAGATATCATATACCTGATTTTGAACGAGCAAGTAATGTTACAAGAAACAGAAAGGAGGTGTTCAATAAAAGACATTCTTCTTTGCGAGGCGTCATTGAGCGGACATTTGGTGTCTGGAAGAAGAAATGGGTTATCTTACGTGATATGCCTCCTTACCCGTTTCCAAAACAGGTTCAGATTGTGATAGCAACGATGACAATACACACATTGATCGGCAATGCTTCGGGGGCATGTATAAAACTTCCGACCGTAGCTATGTGCCTGCCGTGAGGTCAAAAGTGTGGTTTGCAGGCCACAATGACAAAGTACTCGTCGGGGGGTAGCAGACATCCTGGAAGTCATTTTTTCCTGAAAAACAATGCAGTATAAAACATAATTATTACCATATTAGGTAATGAAAAAGACTATCATCAAAATTGAAATATATAAACCGAAATAAAAAACGCAAACCCCTTCACAAATTGTGTTTACAGCAGATCTGAATCGAAGTAATCAGTCTCCAACTAATGAGGCAGTAATCTCCTCACGAAGGGCTTTCATTTCACTCGCACCTTCTCCATATTTCGTGCAAATTGAAGCATTGTCGTTCTCCTCTGTTGGTAGAGATTGACCAAAGCGGTATTCATAGGCTTCGACAGGTACTTCGTCATCATTGACCTCAACACGCTCGAAGTCAACATCAGCTCGAGTTGGATGCCGTCGAATATAGTTAGTGAGGGCCATAGTGGCTAACACTACCTGCACCTGTTTTGGAAATGGATAAGGTGGCATATCTCGTAGTATTGCCCATTTCTTCTTCCAAACTCCAAAAGTCCTCCCAATAACGCTACAACATTTTTCACGCAGCCGCACCAAACAGACTGTCAGCTTCCCCGCAGTTGCTTCTCCACAGCTGCTTCCTGGGGCAGCGCAGATGCAGCTGAAAAGCTGATAATCTGCAGCTGCGCCAAACAGACCCTTAACTGTCTGATTTCTATCCTTCCGTGATTTGGTGAGATTCACAT